GTTTGTTCACGTCCATGTACCCAGTCAACTTGCCGTGGTTAAATGTGGTGGTTCGCGCTTTCAGTTTTGCGTGAATATTGCCATCTATCCACAGTTTTTGGTTTGGATAAGTTCTAAACCTCACTGTAGGAACAACATCCTCTATGCACTTCCTGATTAACCAAGTTACAAGTCAGTGTATACTGGGAAATGTTCTGAGGCAACCCAAAACATTTCCCAGTCCGCATGATCAAAACAATTTTGAAGCATAGATTCCGATTGGTCAGACCAACGTTGAACAGTCCTTACCATGGGAGCTTCCTGTTAAAGTTTTTTACCTATAGGTGGGCAGCAGCAGAATGGAGGAGTGATCTGATTTGCCGAAGTGAGGGCAGGGGAGGGCCTTGTAGCTGTCCCGGAAGGGAGAGTAGTAATGATCCAGGGTCCGTGTTGTGTATGTAGCACAGGAGATGTGTTGATAGAATATCGGTAGCGTTTTCCTCAGATTTCTTTTATTAAATTCCCCAGCTACAATAAATGCGGCCTCAGGATATGCGGTTTCAGTGTCCAGTGTAGTTCCTTGAGAGCGGTTGTGGTGTCGGCTTTGGGGGCATAGCCGTGGGAAGATGTTTTGGAGGGGGTTGAAAAAAATCAACTTTCTAATAATATATTTGCATGCTAAAAATAAAATAAAATTCCTAATGTGATTAGTTTTAAGTTTAATTTAATAATAGGACAAGATTCGGTAACAGTAGTCACTGCAGCCTGCGTGGCACTAGTCCTAGCTGATTACTGAGATGTGGCTCTACGTAAAAAAAAGCAATGCGTTTAAAGTATTTGTGAAGATAATGTGTCTTGAGTAGCATTTGAAATGTTGAGACAAGAAGAAGGGGGAGGGGTGTGTGGTGAAGAAACTGGCATGTCTCGCTCCAGAATCCGCTTTAGCTCGCCTGAATGCGCTGCGCTGTCTCCCGCCAATTCTCGTGCATTTATTGTTTTTATTGTGTTTCAATGTTTGCCTTTTGATTGTTTATTTTTAATAATAGTTAATATAATAATATAATATAATATAATATAATATAATATAATAGTTAATCCCCATCATTTGGTTACATTAATTTCTGTTAATGCATGGATTATTAATTAGGCCTACAAATCATTTACCGTTCTCATTCTCGGAGTGGGGTATGTTGTTTGCAGAGTTCACAACCGGCTACACTTGTTAGAAACAAGTTTTGGTTTATTTCATAACCATCGTTTACGAGTTTTGTCACATTTTTCAATGTATTTTTGTTTGGAGTGCTCCATGTGAGCAATGAGCACGTGTCTGGTTTCTCTGTCCTCTTAATGTTAACAGAGCGCATCGAATTAGGCTAACTGGTCTGCTGCGTGCAAATGTAGGAAAGTGCCCATTTGGGGATGTCTGATTTCTGATTGTCTGAACTCATCACCGCTAATAAGCCATGTCTTCCTCACCTCACACAGTAAGTGAACTAAATCAGTATGAAAAAACAAAAAAAATCCATTGTGAATGATAATAGTTCCTCACACTATTTGAAAACTCTTTCCAACACTCTCCCCCTCGATAATCACTAGGCATCAGTGTGAAAGAGCAAAATGTAATGTTCTAAGGATCCCATTTATACGTCACAAAATACCTGAACACATTTCCCTCTGAGCAAAAACAGCTGTATCTGTCCCGAGCTCACTGGAGCGGGGAAACTCTGAGGGCCCAGAATAGGCTAGTTGATACGATGTTGCAAGTTTGCTAGCGACAGCTTGGGGCGGACACTCACCAGTTGATTGATTTGATAGGCTACAATGTTGCACTACACTAGCGATAGCTCAAGATGGATAGAAAGAGATGCAAACAGGCGGAGTAGAGAGATGAATGTGATCGAAAGAACCTGCATTTTCATCAGGATATTTTCAAGTTTTTATCTGTCGGCTTTACGTATTTGTACTTAGTTGACAATTGAAGTTATAGTCCCACTGCTACATTGGCCTAGTTATAGTCCCACTGCTACATTGGCCTAGTTATAGTCCCACTGCTACATTGGCCTAGTTATAGTCCCACTGCTACATTGTCCTAGTTATAGTCCCACTGCTACATTGGCCTAGTTATAGTCCCACTGCTACATTGTCCTAGTTATAGTCCCACTGCTACATTGGCCTAGTTATAGTCCCACTGCTACATTGGCCTAGTTATAGTCCCACTGCTACATTGTCCTAGTTATAGTCCCACTGCTACATTGGCCTAGTTATAGTCCCACTGCTACATTGGCCTAGTTATAGTCCCACTGCTACATTGGCCTAGTTATAGTCCCACTGCTACAATTGGGCCTAGTTATAGTCCCACTGCTACATTGGCCTAGTTATAGTCCCACTGCTACATTGGCCTAGTTATAGTCCCACTGCTACATTGTCCCAGGCTATCTCTTAGTTCTTTAGCCGCCCTCACGGTGAATCAATGTGTCCATCTGGCAGATGCTGGTACTCTTGCATTAGCGGAATTTTAACTTTAAGATTTGTATCATTTTAATTCCAATTTGTATCATTAGCCACGTGACAATGATTTTGAGAAACAAAAACATTATTATTGAAATGAAACTGTTCCACGAAAATGTACATATGGAAAATCGTAACTCGCACGCAGATCGGTAGAAATGGTAGGATAAATTGTAAGCTTCCCCAAATGGTAGGATAAATTGTAAGCTTCCCCAAACTTGAAACTCACAAACTTGAAACTCACGTGTCGCCTAGGAATAGACCGTTGTGACCAGAGCGCACGTTTCTTTGTACTGCATAATTACAATGTGTGGTGTGTGTGTGTGTGTGTGTGTGTGTGGTGTGAGAGAGACCAGAGAGAGGAGCGAATAGAGATAGAGAAGAGAGGAGAGAGAGAGCAGAGAGAGAGAGAGAGAGAGAGAGAGAGAAGAGAGAGAGAGAGAGAGAGAGAGAGAGAGCTCTCTCTCTCCTCTCTGCCTCTCTTCTCGCTCTCTCCTCTCTCTCTTCTTCTTCTCTCTCTCCTCCCTCTATCTTCTCTTCTCTGCTCTCGCCTCTCTCTCTCGCCTCCTCTACTCTCTCTCTCCTCTGCATCTCCATCTCATCAAACATCAATAACTAATCTTCTCTCTCGCAGCAATTCTCTCTCTCTCTCTCCTTTTTCTCTCTCTCTTTGCTCTCTCTCTCTCCTCTCTTTCTCTCCCTCTCTTTGCTCGTTCTCTCTCTCTCTCTCTCTCTCTCTCTCATCGCTCTCTACTTCTCGTCCTCTCCCTCTCTCATCTTCTCCTCTCTCTCTCTCTCTCCTCTCTCTCTCTCTCTTTCTCTCTTCTCTCGCTCGTCTCTCTCTCCTTTCTCTCTCTCTCTCTCTCTCTCTCGCTCTCTCTCTCTCGCTCTCTCTCTCCTCTCATCTCTCTCTTCCTCTCTCTCTCTCTTCCTCTCTCTCTCTCTCCTCTCTCTCTTCTCTTCTCTCTCTCTCTCTCCTTTCTCTTCGTTTTGTCTCACTACAATTGTGCCTATTAAAACTGAGCACAAATGGACAGTTATGCGATCCATTGTGGAGAATAACGCTCACCTCGATCCAGTGGTGGAAAGCACCGCACGCTGGGCCTCACCCAGCACTGTGTTGCTTGCTAGACCAGTGGGCTAGTACACCTTTGTTTGACATGGGCAGGAGCAGGTCTGCAAGCCGAGGGCGAGAGAATGCCATGTTCCTTATTTGATAGCCTCCAGAGACCCAGCAGTTCACTGTTGTCCTGTCTAGTGGACATCAGTTCATTGTTGTCCTGTCTAGTGGACATCAGCTCATTGTTGTCCTGTCTAGTGGACATCAGTGTCCTGTCTAGTGGACATCCGTTTACTGTTGTCCTGTCTAGTAGACATCAGTTCATTGTTGTCCTGTCTAGTGGACATCAGTTCACTGTTGTCCTGTCTAGTGGACATCCGTTTACTGTTGTCCTGTCTAGTAGACATCAGTTCATTGTTGTCCTGTCTAGTGGACATCCGTTTACTGTTGTCCTGTCTAGTAGACATCAGTTCACTGTTGTCCTGTCTAGTAGACATCAGTTCACTGTTGTCCTGTCTAGTGGACATCAGTGTCCTGTCTAGTGGACATCAGTTCATTGTTGTCCTGTCTAGTGGACATCAGTTCATTGTTGTCCTGTCTAGTGGACATCAGTGTCCTGTCTAGTGGACATCAGTTCATTGTTGTCCTGTCTAGTGGACATCAGTTCATTGTTGTCCTGTCTAGTGGACATCAGTTCATTGTTGTCCTGTCTAGTGGACATCAGTGTCCTGTCTAGTGGACATCAGTTCATTGTTGTCCTGTCTAGTGGACATCAGCTCATTGTTGTCCTGTCTAGTGGACATCAGTTCATTGTTGTCCTGTCTAGTGGACATCAGTGTCCTGTCTAGTGGACATCAGTTCATTGTTGTCCTGTCTAGTGGACATCAGTTCATTGTTGTCCTGTCTAGTGGACATCAGTGTCCTGTCTATGGGACATCAGTTCATTGTTGTCCTGTCATAGTGGACATCAGTTCATTGTTTGTCCTGTCTAGTGGACATCAGTGTCCTGTCTAGTGGACATCAGTTCATTGTTGTCCTGTCTAGTGGACATCAGTTCATTGTTTGTCCTGTCTAGTGGACATCAGCTCTATTGTTGTCCTGTCTGGTGGACATCAGCTCATGTTTGTCCTCTAGTGGACATCAGCTCCTATTGTTGTTCCTGTCTAGTGGACATCAGCTCATTGTTGTCCTGTCTAGTGGACATCAGCTCATGGTTGTCCTGTCTAGTGGACATCAGCTCATTGTTGTCCTGTCTAGTGGACATCAGCTCATTGTTGTCCTGTCTAGTGGACATCAGCTCATTGTTGTCCTGTCTAGTGGACATCAGCTCATGGGTGTCCTGTCTAGTGGACATCAGCTCATGGGTGTCCTGTCTAGTGGACATCAGCTCATGGTTGTCCTGTCTAGTGGACATCAGTTCATTGTTAATAATTTTTGTGAGTGTGATATTCAAATGGTTTCTGGTAAGTGAATATCTCAGGTATAGTTCAGTGCTGTGTAATATTTTTTTTTTCACATTAAATAAAAGCTGTAGTGGATACCCGGATGCCTCAACTATGTTTTTCACCTACTGTACCCATTGACTGTAATGTTAATGTTTTTCACCTACTGTACCCATTGACTGTAATGTTAATGTTTTTCACCTACTGTACCCATTGACTGTAATGTTAATGTTTTTATATTTCTGTCCTAATCACCACTATGGAGGACAATTTTGCACTTACAATAACAGATAAATGTATTTTTTTTCACCCCAAACACTTATGTTATGTAAAAAAAATAGAAGTGGGGAACAGGGGCGGCAGGTAGCCTAGTGGTTAAGAGCGTTGGGCCAGTAACTGAAAGGACGCTGGTTCGAATCCCCAATCTGACTAGGTGAAAAATCTGTTGATGTGCCCTTGAGCAAGGCACTTAACCCTAATTGCTCTTGAGTGTCTGCTAAATGTAAAAAATGAAACTATTGTGAGCGCTTCTCCAGATCACCATGAGAGAGAGAGACCCAACTTAAATCACACTAAAAACTGTCTATCGTACAGCAGAGCATGTGTCTGACTCCAAACCCCCACAACTGAATAGATAAGAGCATGTGTTTGACTCCAAACCCCCACAACTGAATAGATAAGAGCATATTATGAGCACACTGCTTACACAACAGAGCTGAGAGTTCTCCATGTAGAATGGGGCCAATATATATAAATATACATAAAGAATATATAAATATCCTATTATCATTTATATCAATAATGCAACAGAACATTTTGTATTTTATTGCAACAACACAAATTCTTGCAGTTTTACCATCTCACCACCAGCACCTCCAGCAACGTACCTCCCGCGGCTATGGGGGGAATATACACGGTAGTGACGGTTACCGAAGGAAATTCTCTCAGGAGGTAATGCCGTCGGCATGAGGTGTTCCAGATTGGGAGAACAAAAGGACTTGAGTTCCTGTACGTTACAACAATCACACGTGAGTAGTTAATCATGAAACAAACCCCTCCGCCTGAATTGACGGATGCCTCTCTGGAAGGAGATCCTCGCCCTGAGCTCCTGCGTTGTCTTGGCTGTGTGCTTAGGGTCATTGTCCTGTTTAAGGTGAACCTTCGCACCAGTCTGAGGTCCTGAGCACTCTGGAGCAGGTTTTCATCAAAGATCTCCCTGTACTTTGCTCCATTCATCTTTCCCTCATTCCTGACTAGTCTCCCAGTCCCTGCCGCTGAAAAACATCCCCCTAGCATGATGCTGCCACCACCATGCTTCACCGTAGGGATGGTGCCAGGTATCCTCCAGACATGACGCTTGGCATTCAGGCCAAAGAGTTCAATCTTGGTTTCATCAGACCAGAGAATCTTGTTTCTCATGGTCTGAGAGTCCTTTAGTTGCCTTTTGGCAAACTCCAAGTGGGATGTCATGTGCCTTTTAGTTTGGCTGGGCGGCCAGCTCTAGGAAGAGTCTTGGTGGTTCCAAACTTCTTCCATTTAAGAATGATGGAGGCCACTGTGTTCTTGGGGAAAGATTTTGGGACCCTTCCCCAGATCTGTGCCTCGACACAATCCTGTCTCGGAGCGCTACAGACAATTCCTTCGATCTCATGGCTTGGTTTTTGCTCTGACATGCACTGTCAGCTGTGGGACTGTCACGCCCTGGCTCTGGGGACTCTTATGTTGAGCCAGGGTGTGTAGAGTCTATGTTTTGTGTTTCTATGTTCAGGATCTAGTTCATTGTGTTACTATGTTGGCCGGGGTGGTTCTCAATCAGAGGCAACGAGAATCAGCTGTTACTTGTTGTCTCTGATTGGGAACCATACTTAGGCAGCCGTTTGGGCATTTGTGTTTGTGGGATCTTGTTCCGTGTTGGTTTGTGTATGTACCCAAGGACTTCACGTATCGTTTTGTTGTTTTGTTCGTGTGGTGATATATAAATAAAAGATGTTCGCATTCCATGCCGCGCATTGGTCCAATCCTTTCAACAACCGTGACAGAAGATCCCACCTAAACTGGACCAAGCAGCGTGTGTCGGAGCAAACGCCGGGTAGGGAGCTGGAGAAGTTGGCGATGGCCCAGGTGGGCCAATGGTGGTTCTGGGAGGACATGTTCGAGGGCAGAGGACCATTGGCAAGGGTTAAAGCCCTGGCGAGAGAGGAGGTACGGCGCTAACAGTGTCGTCGTCGGACAGACGAGAGGCACCCCCAATACATTTTTAGGGGGGGGGCACATGGCATGGGCGACGGGGCTGCTGGAGGCAGAAAAAGGGCGAGTTAGTGGATGAGGAGAGAAGGCCACCGGGTTACGGGAGCCATTGGTGAGTAGAGGGAAGGAAAGTGTAGAGGCACGGCGAGAGGTACTGAGGTGTGTTGCCAGTCCGGTCCGGCCCGTTCCTGATCCCTGTGTAAGGCCAGTGGTGTGTGTTCCCAGTGCGGTCCGGCCTGTTCCTGTCCCTCGCACCAAGCCTGTGATGCGCGTCGCCAGCCCGGTCCGGCCTGTTCCTGTCCCTCGCCCCAAGCCTATGGTGCACGTCGCCAGCCCGGTCCGGCCTGTTCCTGCCCCTCGCACCAAGCCTATGGTGTGCGTCGCCAGCCCGGTCCGGCCTGTTCCTGCCCCTCGCACCAAGCCTATGGTGCGCGTCGCCAGCCCGGTCCGGCCTGTTCCTGCCCCTTGCACCAAGCCTATGGTGTGCGTCGCCAGCCCGGTCCGGCCTGTTCCTGCTCCCCGCACCAAGCCAATGGTGCGCGTCGCCAGCCCAGCCCGGCCTGTTCCTGCTCCCCGCACCAAGCCAATGGTGCGCGTCGCCAGCCCGGCCCGGCCTGTTCCTGCTCCCCGCACCAAGCCAATGGTGCGCGTCGCCAGCCCGGCCCGGCCTGTTCCTGCTCCCCGCACCAAGCCAATGGTGCGCGTCGTCAGCCCGGTCCGGCCCGTTCCTGCTCCCCGCACCAAGCCAGGGGTGCGCGTCGTCAGCCCGGTCCGGCCCATTCCTGCTTCCCGCACCAAGCCTGTGGTGCGCATCGTCAGCCCGGTCCGGCCCATACCTGCTCCCCGCACCAAGCCAGGGGTGCGCGTCGTCAGCCTGGTCCGGCCCATTCCTGCTTCCCCCACCAAGCCTGGGGTGCGTGTCGTCAGTCCGGCACAGCCCGTGCCCGATTCAGCTGCTCCACACCGGAGCCTAAGCAATCCGCTCCACCGATGTCCAGTCCAGCTCCAGCCAGCGGGACCAGACCAGGGGCACTACGGGGGGGTTATTAGAGGGTGGTGGTCACGCCCGGAGCCGGATCCGCTTCCGAGGAGGAATGCCCACCCGGCCCTCCCCTGTTCGGTTTATGTTTGGCGCGGTCGCAGTCCCCACCTTTGGGGGGGGGGGGGGGTACTGTCACGCCCTGGCTCTGGGGACTCTGTTATGTTGAGCCAGGGTGTGTAGAGTCTATGTTTTGTGTTTCTATGTTCAGGATCTAGTTCATTGTGTTTCTATGTTGGCCGGGGTGGTTCTCAATCAGAGGCAACGAGAATCAGCTATTGCTTGTTGTCTCTGATTGGGAACCATACTTAGGCAGCCGTTTGGGCATTTGTGTTTGTGGGATCTTGTTCCGTGTTGGTTTGTGTATGTACCCAAGGACTTCACGTATCGTTTTGTTGTTTTGTTCGTGTGGTGATATATAAATAAAAGATGTTCGCATTCCACGCCGCGCATTGGTCCAATCCTTTCAACGACCGTGACAGGGACCTTATACAGACAGGTGTGTGCCTTTCCAAATCATGTCCAATCAATTGAATTTACCACAGGTGGACTACAATCAAGTTGTAGAAACATCTCAAGGGCGATCAATGGAAACAGAATGAACCTGAGCTCAATTTCGAGTCTCATAGCAAAGGGTCTGAATACTTATGTAAATCAGGTATTTTTTGTTCTTTTTTTTGCAAAAACTTCCTTAAAAATGTTTTCACTTTGTCATTATGGGGTATTGTGAGTAGATTGATGAGGATTTTTTGGATTTTATTAAAGCAATTTTATAATACGGCTGTAACGTAACAAAATGTGTAAAAGGGGAAAGGGTCTGAATACTTACAATCCACATAATAATTCACATTTCCTGTTGCTGTAGGATTATTTTCCTGCTGTTGCAAACTGGCTCGAATTAAGATCCTTCCCCTGTATCACCATCCTCCTCTTTCTCTGACAAACACACACACACACCCACACACATAAACATACATACACACACATACACACACACATACACACACACACACATGCACATAAATACACACACATACACACTCACACACACACACACACACACACACCCACACACATGCAAATGCATACACACATATACACACTCACAAACACACACACACACACACACACATGCACATACACACACATGCACACACACACCCTCACACACACCCTCACACTCACACACACACCTATCTAGCTAAAGCTTTGGTAATGAGATTTGTATTGTGCTCAGATCCCCTCTTTCATTTGGCAAACGGAGGGATGTGAGAAGAGAGGGATTAGGTAGGTTTATTACACTGTGCTTTCCCTGGGAGGGAGGGAGGGAGGGAGGGAGGGAGGGAGAGAGAGAGGGGAGGAGAGAGAGAAAAAAAGGAAGGCCTCACTGTCAGTGCAACGTTTCCAAGTCTTTCCAAGTGTGTGTAGCAGGGTGAGAGACGAGCACATCCCCAAGGGGATCAACTACTAGAGATGTGACCCACTTACACATACACACATGCACAAAAACACACCCACACACAAATACATGCACACACACACACGTGCATGCGCACACACACATGCACACACACATACACACACACACACGTACACACACACACACACACACATACACACACAGGCGTTCTGTGATTGTTTATTCAGATTTGTCTTAGCTGCCTCCTCTCTTCTCTTCTCTTCTCTTCTCTTCTCTTCTCTTCTCTTCTCTTCTCTCTCTTCTCTTCTCTTCTCTTCTCTTCTCTTCTCTTCTCTTCTCTTCTCTTCTCTTCTCTTCTCTTCCCTTCTCTTCTCTTCTCTTCTCTTCTCTTCTCTACATCAACTGCTCCTTTCTCCTTCCCCCCTCCTCTCTCTCTCCCTCTCTTCTTACCCTTTTGCACCCTATCCCTCCAAGGTGACTCTCCTGTGGGTTTCTGTGATTGATTGATACATTGCTTGATTAAGCGATTGATTGATACCTCCATGTATTGCGTCTCCCCCTAAATCCCATTCCTCCCCCCTCCTCAAGGTGAGCCGCCGGTAGGGTTCCGTGACGTCCTGCTCCGTGAGGGTCCAGAGGGCTTTGCCAAGGCAGTGAGAGCACACCCTGGTCTACTGCTCATGGACACCACCTTCAGGGACGCCCACCAGGTAGGTAACCTAGAGGTTAGAGGTTAGAGCCCACCCTGGTCTAATGCTCATGGACACCACCTTCAGGGACGCCCATCAGGTAGGTAACACTGTAGAACCAAGATGGGGCCCAGTCGCATAAGAACAGACCCACACAGACACCGGTGGAAGGTATCAGGTTTGCACTGTGGATCCAAGACGGCGCAAGATGGTAGGTGGATTGTAGGTAGCCTAGAAATTTGGTGCAGAGTGAGTTGACAACGTAGATTAGATGACGTCTCTTGCCTTTACGCAATGTACTTCAACTGTATTCTTCTTCTTGGTCAACAGTCCCTCCTGGCCACCAGGGTGCGAACTTACGACCTGAAGAAGATCGCACCCTACGTATCACATAGCTTCAGTAAAATGTTTCAGGTCTGAGAACGGGGAGGTGACAATGTTTTGGTATTTGTGATGTGGATTTTCATTAAATCTGTCTGTATGTATGTATGTATATCATATATATATATATATCATATATCTCTTTACTCTCTAGCAATACTCTCTTCTCTCTCTGCGCGTCTCTATCTTTCTATCTCTCTATCTCTTTCTCCTCTCTTCTCTCTCTTCTATCTCCTTCTCTCCTCTCTCTCTCTCTCTCCCTCCCTCTCGCTCTCCCTCCCTCTCTCTCTCTGTCTGTCTCTATACCTCCTTACCTGACAAGTGCACTACAAATTGAATGGGGTGCCATTTGGGACGCATCTCTCTGACTCTCTCTGGCTCTCTGATGACATTGACTAAGTGATCATTTCCTGGCTTCACTGTAGACTGTGGAGCTATTGTTACTTTAAACTATTTCTCTCTCTCTCTTTCTCTCTCTGTCTGTGTAGGAGCTACATTTGACGTAGCGATGCGTTTTCTCTATGAGTGTCCCTGGAAGAGACTCCAGGAGCTGAGAACCTTAGTACCCAACATTCCCTTTCAGATGCTACTGAGAGGGGCTAACGCTGTAGGATACACTAACTACCCTGATAACGCAGTGTTCAAGTGAGGACACACACACACACCCTAACTTTAATGTGGTAGGGAACTATATCTAGGCGCAGGCTGATTTTTGTCGCAACGGATGGTCAGGTGGCCGTAACATAATTATAATATTTTTGTACACATCAAATTGACCACAACTACGCCCAAAAAGAGATTGCATTTGGAAAATAACACTATTTTCATACCTTGATCACATTCAGACACAATCAGATGTATCTTTTCTTGTCGGAAATGCTTGGGAACAGATTTCCCAAGTGAAACAAATGTATATCTATATTCCTGGTGATTTTACTGTCTTTTTTTACCAAAAACTTAAATCATTAAAAATAATTGTTTTGAACTGTCATCCAACTCGGAATTCCAAATCGGAAACTCTGGCATCTTTCTAGAACTCTGACCTTCCAACCTTACGATCACTGACGTCATGATTTGACCTTGTTTTTTTTCCCAGAGTTCCCAGTTGTCTTTAAAGCACGAACACACACACCAATCTTGAGAGCTCATTCCCAACAACACAGTGCTCATAATAATAATATAGATAAAAATAGAAAATATAATAATAGAAAATATATTACAATAATAATAATATAAGGTTGATGTAGGTTGAAGAAACATCAGAATGCAAGAAAAGGACAGTACCCTACTATTTTTCCACATTTTGTTACGTTACAGCCTTGTTGTAAAATTGATTAAATTATATTTTTTCCTCATCAATCTACACACAAAACCCCATAATGACAAAGCGAAAACAGGTTTTTTGAAAATTTTTCCAAATGTATAAAAAATATAAACAGAAATAACTTTATTTACATAAGTAGTCAGACCCTTTGTTATGAGACTCGAAATTGAGCTCAGGTGCGTCCTTTTTCCATTGATCATCCTTGAGATGATTCTACAATTTGATTGGAGTCCACCTGTGGTAAATTCAATTGATTGGACATGATTTTGAAAGGCACACACCTGTATATATAAGGTCCCACAGTTGACAGTGCATGTCAGAGCAAAAACCAAGCAATGAAGTCGAAGGAATTGTCCGTAGAACTCAGACACAGGATTGTGTCGAGGCACAGATCTGGGGAAGGGTAACAAAAAATGTCTGCAGCATTGAAGGTCCCCAAGAACACAGTGGCCTCCATCATTCTTAAATGGAAGAAGTTTGGAACCACCAAGACTCTTCCTAGAGCTGGCCGCCAGGCCAAACTGAGCAATCATGGAAGAAGGCCTTGGTCATGGAGGTGACCAAGAACCTGATGGTCACCCTGACAGAGCTCTAGCGTTCCTCTGTGGAAATGGGAGAACCTTCCAGAAGGACAACCATCTCTGCAGCACTCCACCAATCAGGCCTTTATGGTAGAGTGGCCAGACGAAAGCCACTCCTCAGTAAAAGGAACATGACAGCCCGCTTGGAATTTGCCAAAAGGCACCTAAAGAACTCTCAGACCATGAGAAACAAGAGTCTCTGGTCTAATGAAACCAAGATTGAACACTTTGGCCTGAATACCAAACGTCAAGTCTGGAGGAAACCTGGCATCATCCCTACGGTGAAGCATGGTGGTGGCATCATCATGCTGTGGGGATGTTTTTCAGCTGCAAGGACTGGAAGACTAGTTAGGATCGAGGGAAAGATGAACGGAGCAAAGTACAGAGATCCTTGATGAAAACCTGCTCCAGAGTGCTCAGGACCTCAGACTAGGTTGAAGGTTCACCTTAAACAGGACAATGACCCTAAGCACACAGCCAAGACAAAGCAGGAGTGGCTTCCGGACAAGTCTCTGAATGACCTTGAGTGGCCCAGCCAGAGCCCGGACTTGAACCCGATCGAACATCTCTGGAGAGACCTGAAAATAGCTGTGCAGCGACGCCCCCCATCCAATCTAACAGAGTTTGAGAGGATCTGCAGCGAAGAATGGGAGAAACTCCTCAAATACAGGTGTGCCAAGCTTGTAGCGTCATACCCAAGAAGACTCGAGGCTGTAAACGCTGCCAAAGGTGCTTCAACAACAGTACTGTGTAAACGGTCTGAATACTAAATGTGATATTTCAGATTCTAAAAACCTGTTTTTGCCTTGTTATATGGGGTATCATGGGGTATTTTGGGTTATTATGGGTTATTATGGGGTATTTTGGGGTATTGTGTGTAGATTGATGAGGAGAAAGAAAACAATGTAATCCATTTTAGAATAAGGCTGTAACTTAACTTTCCGAATGCACACTCACACACCAACTACCCTACCGCTCTCTATCTCTCTCCCACTCTCCCCAGGTTCTGTGAGGTGGCGAAGGAGAATGGCATGGATATCTTCCGCGTGTTCGACAGTCTCAACTACCTCCCCAACATGATACTGGGCATGGAGGCTGCAGGCAGGTAGGTTGATTGTACCATCCAGACTCTCCCTGATGAATAAGAGTTAGCTCATCCCTCCTCACGTCACTGTGCTGTGGGTTGTTGATGTTGTTTTGTCTACGTGAGTACTGCACATCTAACACAAGTAGGCACATCATATTTGTGACGTCTATATTTATGTTGACATGCTCGTCTTCTTCATGATCATCATCATCACCATCTTCATCATCTACAGGGCAGGAGGTGTGGTGGAGGCTGCTATCTCCTATACGGGAGACGTATCAGACCCCATGAGACAGAAGTACTCTCTGGAGTACTATATTAACCTGTCTGAGGAACTGATGAGGGCTGGGACACACATATTATGTATCAAGGTGACTTTATTGACACACACACATACACACACATACACACACATCTACACACACATACACACACATACAGTTGAAGTCTGAAGTTTACATACACCTTTAGCCAAACACATTTAAACTCATTTTTTTCACAATTCATGACATTTAATCCTTGTAAAAAATTATATGTCTTAGGTCGGTTAGGATCACCACTTTATTTTAAGGATGTGAAATGTCAGAATAATAGTAGAGAGAATTATTTATTTCAGCTTTTATTTCTTTCATCACATTCCCAGTGGGTCAGAAGTTTACATACACTCAATTAGTATTTGGTAGCATTGCCTTTAAATAGTTTAACTTGGGTCAAACGTTTCGGGTAGCCATCCACAAGCTTCCCACAATAAGTTGGGGGAATTTTGGCCCATTCCTCCTGACAGAGCTGGTGTAACTGAGTCAGGTTTGTAGGCCTCCTTGCTCGCACACGCTTTTTCAGTTCTGCCTATAGGATTGAGGTCAGGGCTTTGTGATGGCCACTCCAATACCTTGACTTTGTTGTCCTTAAACTGAGCAAGAGGACAAATACATAAATGTCTAGTTTGAGAAACAGACGCCTCACAGGTCCTCAACTGGCAGCTTCATTAAATAGTACCTGCAAAACACCAGCCTCAACGTCAACAGTGAAGAGGTGACTCTGGAATGCTGACCTTCTAGGCAGAGTTGCAAAGAAAAAGCTGCATCTCAGACTGCCCATATTAATCTTTTCTTTTTATTGGCCAGTCTGAGATATGGCTTTTTCTTTGCAACTCTGCCTAGATAGTCAGCATCCCGGAGTCGCCTCTTCACGGTTGACGTTGAGACTGGTGTTTTGCGGGTCCTATTTAATGAAGCTGCCAGTTGAGGACCTGTGAGGCGCCTGTTTCTCAAACTAGACACTATGTATTTGTCCTCTTGCTCAAGGAATAGCCTTCATTTCTCAGAACAACAATAGACTGACGAGTTTCAGAAGAAAGTTATTTGTTTCTGGCCATTTTGAGCCTGTAATTGAACCCACAATTGTTGATGCTCCAGATACTCAACTAGTCTCAAGAAGGCCAGTTTTATTGCTTCTTTAATCAGCATAACAGTTTTCAGCTGTGCTAACATAATTGCAAAGGGTTTCTAATGATTAATTAGCCTTTTAAAATGGGTTGCTGAAAATGGGCCTCTGTACGCCTATGTAGATATTCCATTAAAAATCATACAGTTACCAGACAGTTACCTGACAGTTACCTGACAGTTACCAGACAGTTCCCAGACAGTTACCTGACAGTTACCATACAGTTACCTGACAGTTCCCAGACAGTTACCAGACAGTTACCAGACAGTTCCCAGACAGTTCTCAGACAGTTACCTGACAGTTACCATACAGTTCCCAGACAGTTCCCAGACAGTTACCTGACAGTTCCCAGACAGTTCCCAGACAGTTCCCTGACAGTTACCATACAGTTACCAGACAGTTACCAGACAGTTACCATACAGTTCCCAGACAGTTCCCAGACAGTTCCCTGACAGTTCCCAGACAGTTACCAGACAGTTCCCAGAAAGTTCCCAGACAGTTCCCAGACAGTTACCTGACAGTTCCCTGACAGTTCCCAGACAGTTTCCAGACAGTTACCTGACAGTTCCCAGACAGTTCCCAGACAGTTCCCAGACAGTTCCCTGACAGTTCCCTGACAGTTCCCTGACAGTTCCCAGACAGTTCCCAGACAGTTCCCAGACAGTTACCTGACAGTTCCCAGACAGTTCCCAGACAGTTCCCAGACAGTTCCCTGACAGTTCCCAGACAGTTCCCAGACAGTTCCCAGACAGTTCCCAGACAGTTCCCAGACAACATAGCAGAAACATCTCTAACTAACACTGCGCTTCAATCTAAGACTCTATTAATCTACTTCCCCCCTCTTCTCTCTGCTCCATTCTCCTCCTCCTTCTCTCTCTCTCTCTCTCTACCTCTTCGTCTCTCCACCTGTCCTCTCCAGGACATGGCCGGTCTGTTGAAGCCGGAGTCTAGTCGTATCCTGATCAGTGCCCTGCGGGATCGTTTTCCTGACGTTCCCATCCACATCCACACACATGACACAGCAGGGGCCGGAGTAGCCTCGATGTTAGCCTGCGCTGAGGCCGGGGCCGACGTAGTGGATGTCGCGGTGGGTAACACACACACACACACACACACACTCACACACACACACACACACACACACACACACACACACACACACACACACACACACACACACACGCTCACACGCTCACAAACACACTCGCACACACACGCACTCACACACACACACACACACTCGCACACACACACACAACACACACACACACACACACACACACACACACACACACACACACACACGCTCACACGCGCTCACAAACACACTCGCACACACACGCACTCACACACACACACACACACACACTCGCACACACACACACACACACTCGCACACACACACACACACACACACACACACACACACGCTCACACGCTCACAAACACACTCGCACACACACGCACTCACACACACACACACACACACACTCGCACACACACACACACACGCTCACACGCGCACACACACACACACACACACACTCGCACACACACGCTCACACACACACACACACACACACGCTCACACGCTCACAAACACACACACACACCCACACACTAACTATTAATATGTTGTCACAGGTGGACTCCATGTCAGGGATGACATCACAGCCCAGCATAGGAGCCATGGTGGCCTGCACCAAAGGAACCAAATTCAACACTGGTACGTGACTGGCCCACAGCGCTGTCAATCAATACGGAGAGGCCTCTATAGACCAATCAGAGCCCATTATAATGTGTGTTGATGTATTGAACTCATGATCGATGGCTAAGTTGACAATGTATTAATTTACTGACTGATTAATTAACTGATTGATCGATTGAAACTCAAAATCACCAACAGATGAAAGCAACAACCTTTACATCTCCTTCCTATTTCTACTGCAGTCTGCCTGTCTATCTGCTGGTTCCTACTGCAGTCTGCCTGTCTATCAGCTGGTTCCTACTCCTACTGCAGTCTGGCTGTCTATCACCTGGTTCCTACTGCAGTCTGCCTGTCTATCAGCTGGTTCCTATCCTACTGCAGTCTGCCTGTCTATCAGCTGGTTCCCACTCCTACTGCAGTCTGCCTGTCTATCAGCTGGTTCCCACTCCTACTGCAGTATGCCTGTCTATCAGCTGGTTCCCACTCCTACTGCAGTCTGCCTGTCTATCAGCTGGTTCCTATCCTACTGCAGTCTGCCTGTCTATCAGCTGGTTCCTACTGCAGTCTGCCTGTCTATCAGCTGGTCCCCACCCTACTGCAGTCTGCCTGTCTATCAGCTGGTTCCTATCCTACTGCAGTCTGCCTGTAGCTCAGTTGGTAGAGCATGGCGCTTGCAACGCCAAGGTTGTGGGTTCGTTTCCCACGGGGGGCCAGTATGAAAAATGTATGCACTCACTAACTGTAAGTCACTCTGGATAAGACCGTCTGCTAAATGACTAAAATGTCAAATGTAATGTAAATGCTTGTCAATCAGTCATAGAAAACCACATTCATTCATTTGTCAGTTAGTTTTTTCGTTCATTCATTCATCCTATTATTAATTGATTCATTCACTATTTTGTTTGTTCATTCATTCATTCATCTCCCCCTACACTGTGCAGCGGCAGCATGGTGGTCGTGGTCAAGAGTTTTGAGAATGACACAAATATTAATTTTCACAAAGTCTGCTGCCTCAGTTTTTATGATGGCAATTTGCATATACTCCAGAATGTTATGAAGAGTGATCTGATGAATTGCAATTAGTTGCAATGTCCCTATTTGCCGTGAAAATGAACTTAATCCCCAGAAAACATTTCCACTGCATTTCAGCCCTGCCACAAAAGGACCAGCTGACATCATGTCAGTGATTCTCTCGTTAACACAGGTGAGAGTATTGACGAGGACAACGCTGGAGATCACTCTGTCATGCTGATTGAGTTAGAATAACATACTGGAAGCTTTGAAAGGAGGGTGGTGCTTGAAATCATTGTTCTTCCTCTGTTAACCATGGTTACCTGCAAGGAAACACGTGCCGTCATCATTGCTTTGCACAAAAAGGGCTTCAGAGGCAAGGATATTGCTGCTAGTAAGATTGCACCTAAATAAACCATTTATCGGATCGTCAAGAACTTCAAGGAGAGAGATTCAATTGTTGTAAAGAAGGCGTCAGGGCGCCCAAGAAAGTCCATCAAGCGCCAGGACCATCTCCTAAAGTTGATTCAGCTACGGGATCGGGGCACCACCAGTGCAGAGCTTGCTCAGGAATGGCAGCAGGCAGGTGTGAGTGAATACTTTTGGAGGATGGCCTGGTGTCAAGAAGGGCAGCAAAGAAGCCACTTCCTCGAGGAAAAACATCAGGGACAGACTGATATTCTGCAAAAGGTACAGGGATTGGACTGCTGAGGACTGGGGTAAGGTCATTTTCTCTGATGAATCCCCTTCCCGATTGTTTGGGGCATTCGGAAAAAAGCTTGTCCGGAGAAGACAAGGTGAGAGCTACCATCAGTCCTGTGTCATGCCAACAGTAAAGCATCCTGAGACCATTCATGTGTGGGGTTGCTTCTCAGCCAAGGGAGTGGGCTCACTCACAATTTTGCCTAAGAACACAGCCATGAATAAAGAATGGTACCAACACATCCTCCGAGAGCAACTTCTCCCAACCATCCAAGAACAGTTTGGTGACAAACAATGCCTTTTCCAGCATGATGGAGCACCTTGCCATAAGGCAAAAGTGATAACTAAGTGGCTCGGGGAACAAAACATTGAAATGTTGGGTCCATGGCCAGGAAACTCCCCAGACCTTAATCCCATTGAGAACTGTGGTCGATCCTCAAGAGGCAGGTGGACAAACAAAAACCCACAAATTCTGACAAACTCCAAGCATTGATTATGCAAGAATGGGCTACCATCAGTCAGGATGTGGCCCAGAAGTTAATTGACAGCATGCCAGGGCGGATTGCAGAGGTCTTGAAAAAGAAGGGTCAACACTGCAAATATTGACTCTTTGCATAAACGTAATGTAATTGTCAATAAAAGCCTTTGACACTTATGGAATGCTTATAATTATACTTCAGTATACCATAGTAACATCTGACAAAAATATCTAAAAACACTGAAGCAGCCAACTTTGTGAAGACCAATACTTGTGTCATTCTCAAAACGAGAGGAGAGGAGAGGGTGAAGGGGAGGGGGTAGAGGCAGAAGGGGAGGGTGAAGGGGGAGGGGTAGAGGCAGAAGGCGAGAGGGAGGAGAGGAGAGGGTGAAGGGGGAGGGGGGTAGAGGCAGAAGGCAAGAGGGAGAAGAGGAGAGGAGAGGGTGAAGGGGGAGGGGGTAGAGGCAGAAGGCGAGAGGGAGGAGAGGATGTGAAATGAGGATGGCAATGGAGAGACGTTTGCACAAACATTTACAGTGTTATTGACAGAAGAGATTGAAGGGAGGGAGGGAGTCAGAATGGGTTGGAAGAAGGGAGGGAGGGAGAGATGTGAGGGATAAGGGAGGGAGGGAGAGATGTGAGGGATAAGGGAGGGAGGGAGAGATGTGAGGGATAAGGGAGGGAGGGAGAGATGTGAGGGATAAGGAGAGAGAGCTTGGAAGTGACAAGAGAGGAAGGTTCCACACCAATTTGCATTCCTCCCATCTCTCTCATCAAACAGAGTTACGCAGACTCACACACACAGTGACACACACACACAAACACAGGCAGAGGCGCACACACGCCAACACAGGCAGAGGCGCACACACACAAACACAGGCAGAGGCGCACACACGCCAACACAGGCAGAGGCGCACACACACAAACACAGGCAGAGGCGCACACAAGCTCTCACTGTCTCACTGCAGACTCAAATTTGTGTTTTTGACACACTGGGTTGACTACTCAGGATCGTTCTGTTTCTGCAAATGTCAGATTTAGAACATACAACATTCTGATCCAGAGTACCGGAATTACGCCTATCCGCCACCCCGGTCCAAAACCTAGCAAAACCCAAGCCTACTTGATGTTAACCTCTATGGGATCGGTGTCCCGTATACGGGACGGTTGAGCTAACGTGCGCTAATGTGATAAGTGTGACTGTTGTTAGTAACAGCAGACTTTCCAGGACATATATGTTGACTACAGAAAAAAAAAAAAAGAGGACTGAGCACGCCACCATTCTCATCGACGGGGCTGTAGTGGAACAGGTTGAGAGCTTCAAGTTCCTTGGTGTCCACATCACCAACAAATCTATCATGGTCCAAACACACCAAGACAGTCATGAAGTTGGCACGACAAAGCCTATTCCCCCTCAGGAGACTGAAAAGATTTGGCATGGGTCCTCAGATCCTCAAAAAGTTATACAGCTGCACCTTCGAGAGCAACCTGACTGGTTGCGTCACCGCCTGGTATGGCAAATGCTCGGCCTCCGACCGCAAGGCACTACAGAGGGTAGTGCGTACGGCCCAGTACATCACTGGGGCCAAGCTTCCTGCCATCCAGGACCTCTATACCGCACGGCAAGCGGTACCGGAGCGCCAAGTCTAGGTCCAAAAGGCTTCTTAACAGCTTCTACCCCCAAGCCATAAGACTCATGAACAGCTAATCATGGCTACACAGACTATTTGCATTGACCCAGAGATAAAATATAGCATAGTCTTGTTTGATAAAATCAATTTGTATATTCAAATGTAGGAACTGGGTTCTACAGTTTGAACCCCTGCTGTCTCTGGCTCCACACCTACCCCGCCCGGCCATCTAGATGTGTGAAAGTTAGTGTATAAGCTAATGATCCATCATGTTAAACATTCCTGGGAGTGTGTAAACTTACATTTTGTATTACCAGATACTTTTTGTATTTTATCTATAGTTATGTACTTGAAGATTTATCAATTGACCAATTCGGCACATTTGGGCAGACTTGATACAAAATAGTCCAGTATTGCAATGCTTCACTGGATCAATCTGAAACTTTGCACACACACTGCTGCCATCTAGTGGCCAAAATCTAAATTGCGCCTAAACTGCAATATTATATTGTGGCCTTTCTCTTGCATTTCAAAGATGATGTAACAAAAAAAACAATAGAAAATGCATGTTTTTTTGTTTTGGATTATCTTTTACCAGATCTAATGTGTTATATTTTCCTACATTAATTTCACAAACTTAAAGGTGTTTCCTTTCAAATGGTATAAAGAATATGCATATCCTTGCTTCAGGTCCTGAGCTACAGGAAGTTAGATTTGGATTGAAAAAATTGGTCCTATCCTTCAGAGGTTAATAATGCTCACTGTTGTTTGAAGGCATGTCCCGAAGTCGAAGTCACTCTTGAGCGATATGCCTGCACATGCACACACAGAAAGACCACCTCTCTCTCTCTCTCTCTCTCTCTCTCTCTCTCTCCTCTCTCTCTCTCTCTCTCTCTCTCTCTCTCTCTGTCCTCTCTTCTCTCTCTCTCTCTCTCTCTTCTCTCTCTCTCTTCTCTCTCTTCTTCTCCTCTCTCTCTCTCTCTCTCTCTCTCTCTCTCTTCTCTCTCTCTTTCTCTCAATTCAATTTCAATTTAAGGGCTTTATTAACATGGGAAACATACAGTGGGGAGAACAAGTATTTGATACACTGCCGATTTTGCAGGTTTTCCTACTTACAAAGCATGTAGAGGTCTGTAATTTTTATCATAGGTACACTTCAACTGTGAGAGACGGAATCTAAAACAAAAATCCAGAAAATCACATT